AAAACCAATTCTTAAACTGAATATTTTTTTATCCTAAATATTTCAAATTATAAGGTAGCATTGTCTATTTCCAATGCATTTAAGAGGCATTGTTTTCTATTCCTGGACATTAATTTTAAGAAAGCATGAGCCTCAGTACTTCTGTTTTTAGAAATTAGCTGCTGCAATTGCCTGCTACTCTCAATGGAATGTGACTAAGAATGATTCTTTTTTTGATACACAAGTTACAGTGTGACATAGTCCCTGCTGCATAAGCCACTGAAATGTGTATTTGATCTAGAACAGTAAGGTTTGTTTTTCCTGACATTATCTTACTTGTACTGCAATTCTTACAGGAAAGCTTTCATCCCATGTTGCTAGATTTATGATGGTGATAGTGCTGATCAGGATTTCTTTACTCACTCATCTTCATATGGTCCCAGGGCAGGTTAAAACAAGGTAAAAATACAATATTAAACTCTGTTAAAGCGATTTACAATCAAAAGAATAGGATGGGTGTCTAAAAAATAAAATGAGAAATAAAATTCCACCCACCTTTATGTATAATCTAACTTTTGATTCCAGATCTCTCTTCTCCCCCTACAACCCCTTCTGCCTTTTGGCTGTCTCTCACTGAAGAAATTTAAATACTATCAGGAAGAAGCTTGTCTTTTTGTTTGTTTATATTAATACGTAAAGCACTCTTTGCATCATATGATTATATAACAAAAGCCTGTATTTTAAATTTTTAACAGACCACAACAGGTAGATGGATACATTACAAAAATGAGTTGTATAAAATACTGCACAAAATCTCATTACTACCTGGAATCATGTATAATAGCTACATCTTAAAAAATACTGCATAAGTCACATGTAGTATCTATAACACATGTTGAAAGGGCAAAATTTAATACAGATATAAAAACATTAGTTATTGAGAACTGTATTGGTTAAATACTACTGGTTTTTGTGCTGCTACTACTACAGATGAGGAACTTCTACAGATAATACAATAATAAAGTATTTCCGGTTAATTATTACCAGGAAGTGATGGCATCTCCAGAGCTCTAGAATGATATGTCACAATAGATCTTTAATTGTTACATCTCAAAATTAATTTCTCCTCCTCCTGATAGCCTCCTCCTAGGATCCTGATAAATTAGTTCTAGCTTCAGGCAATATTCACTAATGTTCCCTGAAGATGGACTGAATTTGAGCATCAAAACACTAGTGTCAAAACAAATTGTCCTTTCTATTTCTTCATTTAAAACTAATTGAGGAATTTTCCCAGTGTAGTTCAAGCCTTTATTTTCACAAAGGAACATTATGTGACCAAAACAAACAAGGGCAAAGCATCTAAGCCGTGTTAGCTCAAGAAGTAGCAATGAAATGTCCCTGCAGTACTAATGTTGCAGCAATAGCTTGATAGAAAGGGCAAGATTTCTGTGCCCCTGGAGGGGGGCAGCAACAGATTAGGATCTTGTACAAAGTCCACACATGATTCATTCCTACCAACTTTCACAAACCCTAGTCCAGGATTTCAAAAAGATTCATGAAAGGATATTTTGTATTGGCTATGCAAACGTAACACAGACTGACACACTGAATGTTGGATAGTGTTGCCCTCAAACTGGGATACTATTAATAGTGCTTACCTCCCTTTACAGGAACAGGGAAAGAATTTTACTTGGTTGTCTCAATTGGTCTGAACTTGCATGCTCTTCCTGCAGTTCCCAAGAGCTCAATTACTCCCGGTGAGATGTTCAGCTTGTTGTTAATAAATTAGTAGGCAAATGTATACACACTGGGAGTAAATCCTGCTTCTGAGTAAGCATGCATAGGATTGCACTGTTTAAGTTAGCTGTTTGACTTCTTCCCATTCATTACTGCTATAGAGTAACCAGTATGGACACGGAATGTTACCATGTTGTAAAGAGAGTAGAGGCAATGAGTTGCACACATCGCCATGAGATGTAGGATAGCAGATGATATGATTTGCTAACTTATGACACTGCCATGAAGATACTACAATGTTGTTGTTGTTGTTGTTGTTGTTGTTGTTGTTGTTGTTGTTGTTTTCAAAAGAATTGTGAGCAGAGATAGAACAATCTCTTCTTTTAGCTTGCTGCAAAATTCTATGAACAGGGGATATAGGAGCCTCAGCAATATGTTACAAAACTAACCATGATATTATATGCAACCTGAAGCACATATTGCTGTGTAGATAAACTGGCAGACTTTCCATTGGACTGAAATATATGTGCACAATATAATAGCATTTGTTGAGTGCCCATTCTCTACACTGTGCCCTAATTCCAAATTTGAACCCAAATTTAACCTGAATTTAGGCCTCTGTCCATTGTATGAGTACCTGTTTGAAGTCAAGTTAGTAACACCAAGACCTTGACTTTATCATGATTTTAAGTGTGTATCTGTGTCTGTTAGCTGCCACTGCTGCTGCATTATTTATTAGCAGTTGAGGTTTTGCATTATCATGCATGTTACAGCTATGTTGCTGGGAGTGAGTATTTGCAGGCATGTGGGGCTTCCATGGTATGTGGAAGCCCCCACATTCCTGTAATCCAATCCATTGTGAACAGACAAAAGATATGTCAAGGGAAAAAAATAATTATGATAATGATAATGGCAAAATTCCTTTTTGATGTTTGTACTAGTTGCAGTGAAAAGCACAGCACAGCACAGCACAGCACAAAAGATAATTCTAACAGAATTAGCCAAGTGCCTGCTTTTAGAAAGTCCCTGCTTTTAGCCATTAAGGTGCATTTATAAGGGAAATGTTTCAGATGGGTACCTGCTTCACATCTCAACAGCTAGATTGATTGGCAATCATGTCAGGTGCTACATTTAAAAATACTTTAACATAGCACCTGTCTTTGAGACAATAACTTGCACAATGATTACACTTTATGGTGCATCCACACTTCTTGGGATCCCATTAAACAGTTTGGACACTCTTGTCATAATTCTGACTGTGTGTAATGCTTCCCCCCTCTTGAAACTGTTGCTCTTTCCACCTGGGCAAGGATCTGGGAACTGAAGCCCTCAGGCTTATTCCAGATACCTGAAAGGTGACATCAATCTCCCAGCTGCCAGGCACATCTCTCTTTATATTACTTTCATCCTTGCATCTTGAAGAACGTCAAGAGAAATTGAAATGTGAGCAACAGAAGGAAGCACCTAGTAAAAAGAGGAACACTCATCTCACTGCCATTATTTGCCTTGTCTCCCCTGCCTTCAAGTCTCCCCTAGTGGAAAAAATTAAATAGAATGGGGTCATCTAGTTCTGTGTTTATTAAACTATTTGATGTGTTGGACTGGCAGTTCTCTGCCCCCCTCCCCAGCACCGACACCATATTTGGTCTCTGAAGCATACCACCCAACTTGGCCTTTGAAGTACCAGTAATCAACTTAATAAGTATTTATCTACACTGGATGTTTATGGATATTCTCCCTTTCTTTGGTATTTGAAAAAGTGATGTGCTCTTAATGTGCCAATATGATGTTCAAGCACACTTGAGGTTTCATGCTCTTTTTATCTGCACTGAATAAAGCTGCCCGATTTCTAAAGCGAGACCGTATGTTTAAACAAAGTTGAATAGGCATGAAGCTATTTGCCCAGACAAGCGTATTATGTGACCTATGAGAGCAGCAAAATAACCAGACTGCATAACGGTGATGGGATAAAATCAGACCAAATCTTTATTGACAGCAGCAGGCAGGGCAAGGGCTGGGCTGGCATTGGGTCCCAGAATCAGCTCATCATTCCACAAGCCCCGTGTTGATGAAATGGATGCACTGGGTTTGGATTGCTCCAAGCCTGTACGATGGGAGTCGGCCAGTGTTGAACCTTGCTGTGGTGCAAGCCAAGCATGGGGAACCAGGGTGCAGATTACAACCAGGCGGATCCAGAACCCACGCTTGGGTTTGCCATTGTCAGGGCCATTTTAAGCATATCTGCCGTGGTGCAAAGCTCCCTCCGGTGCCCCCCCCATTTCCCAGAGTTGTTGACTTATTTTAGGGAGGACGGCGAGGCTGGAGGAGGTGGGCAGTAGCTGGAGGGCGGCTCCTTTGGTGGGGAAGAGGCAGAGGCTGGACACAGCACCTCCCGGCTCAGCTGGCTGCTTTGTGCCGCAGTGGCCACGGCAGATGGAGGCTCCGGGTGTGGTGCTGCTTCAGCGTGGGCGGCATGGCGGAGGCGTGCAAGGGTGGCGAGCTGATGCTGGGAGGCACCACGTCCAGCCTCCGCCTCTTCCCTGGCGCCCTACGCCACTAGCCTCTATGAGTAAGACGCCTCTGGCCGTGGTCAATCCTCCCCTCAGGCGCCTTATTGGGGCCACCCTACACTATGTTGATCCTGCCCAATGCCATTTCTGCCCTCATACAGTGTTCTTCCACTTAACAAAGGAAAGGCATAATTTTACTGAGGGAAAAGGGGAGAGGACCCCAACCAAGTGCCAATCAGGTTGAGAGGGGGGAAATCCTTTCTGGCCCTGTCAACCAGCAGCTCAAAATTGTTCAGTGAAGGCTCTAATCTGAGCATGGGTGGGCAGGAAGCTCTCAAAGCAAACTGGCTGTGAGCTCCACGGGAAGCAGCCTTATATAGGCTTTCCCCCTCCCCTCTTCAGCAAGGGCTCATGGGACAGCTTTTCCCCATGAGCCCATCACACAGAGGTGCTACTGAGCAAAACCTTGCCCAGTATTTTGCTGCAATCTATGGGCCACAGCGCCGGGCGCTGAGCAAAGGCATCCCATGCTTACTGGGTGCAGAACAGAGCTTTTCACACCCAGGTAACTTCTTTGACAGCTCAAAATGTATTTGTGAAAGATTTTACTACAAGTTATTTTCACTTTCCTGGTTACCCAGCATGTCTGTCTGCAACTAAACGAAACAGAGAGGTACAAAAATAAGGTGCTAAGACAGGCAATTGGTTCTGAATTCCTTAAATGTTTCTGATAGTGAATCACGTAGAATAAGAAGGGCCACAGTGCAGTAAGAAGGGTTTGTAGCTCAGTGGTAGAACATCTGCTTTGAATGCAGAAGGTTTCAGGTTTAATCCTTGTCTACAGGTGTGGCTGGGGATGTCTTCTGCTTGAAACCCCAGAGAAATTGCTGTCAGTCAGTGTGGGAAATTTTGAGCTAGATGGACCAGTAGTCTGACTCATATAAGACAGATTCCTTTGTTATTATAAATAGTGTGCACAGAGCCCATGTTGTCCTGCCATGTAAAGTAGAGAAAATGTATTTTGCTGTGGCTTCACTATGGCATGTTTGTTGATGGAGGGCAATGAATACTAATTAGTGCTACACTGAAAATCTCTCCAGCATAGTCATTCTCCATCAATTACCGGAATGGAAATTGTATTTGAGTATTACAAAAGGGCAATGCATGTGGGTTGAGATACCGAGCTTTGCGCTTACCTTAATTCTGAGGTGTCGTAGGAATTTTTTTAACTGCACTTTTATTCCACAAAATAGAATGCAGGGGGCTAGATGACTCTTGGGTCCCTTGCAGCTCTACAATTCTGTGATTCTACAATTAAGTGAAATCATCTCTCCAGTAGTTTGCTCTAAAGCCTTCTTGGGCTGCAGCTCTCCCTGAAAATACAGTGATATTCTCAGCTGTAGGTGCAGAAGGCAGGGGTGATATCTATCATGTTCCTGGCTGCTGGTTTGTTTTTGTTTTTGTTTTACATTTAAAGAAATCAGCACAACCTTCTTCTTTTTTTAAGTAAAAGAACATTTCTAAAAAATAAAGCCTAAATCACTTAGTAACTACCACCACTGCTCTGGTTTAAATGTGCATATTGGTGCAGGGGGAGGTTTGCTGTTAACTTACTTTGGATAATGAAAGATACAGCTAAGGAGAAATAGTGGATGATGGAATCCAAGAAGTAGCCACTCACATTTTGCTTTAAAAAAAGAAAGGGGGAAAGCTGGCTTGGGAAAGCTGAACTGAAACTGCAGCCCCACCCAAATAGCTGCTCAGCCTGTTTTGTAAATATAAATTTTTATTGTACTTCACACATCTCCAATGTTTTATCCTACAAAGGAACCTTACATTGCAACAACTGCTCAAGTTGTCATTCCCCTGCAAATCACATAACAGCAAATGGTAATGGCAATTTGTGATGGGTAATACACCCATTAGAGGGACGTGGGTGGCGCTGTGGGTTAAACCACTGAGCCTTGGGCTTCCCGATCAGAAGGTCGGTGGTTCGAATCCCCACAACGGGGTGAGCTCCCGTTGCTCAGTCCTTGCTCCTGCCAACCTAGCAGTTCAAAAGTATGAACTGCAAGTAGATGAATAGGTACCGCTCCAGCGGGATGGTAAACGGTGTTTCCGTGCACTACTCTGGTTTGCCAGAAGCGGCTTAGTCATGCTGGCCACATGACCCAGAAGCTGTACGCCGGCTCCCTTGGCCAATAAAGTGAGATGAGTGCCGCAACCCCAGAGTCGTCTGCGACTGGACCTAATGGTTGCTAAGGTTCTTTTTGCAAATGTTGCTTAACGTTTTCCTATAGAGCTATGGTCTTTTCTTGTGACTTTGTAGGGATGTCTTCTGAAGAGAGAATTTGAAAATAAAACTAGACTTTCCACTGACATTCAGCAAGAATGCATTTTAGATTCAATGCTGAATTCTCTCACTTCAAGACCTAAAAAAATCCATGTATGGTTTGCTATGCATTCAGTAAATACGCTGGTGAGTAGTTCTAATAATAATTACCATTATATCTGCATTCATGTGGTTTTTCAGCTTTTTTGAAGTCATCTGTGTGTACTCACGTGTTTTACATAACCATGTTATTTGATGCATCAGTGTCAAACCATACTGATTCTTCCAAGCAACTATAACCTACTGTGCAATGTTGCTGTATACAAACATTCAATATTTTCCTTTCCCACCAGCTTGCACATTCCTTTTTATTAGAGTTTAAACACACACAGTGCTCGAGTAGTTCAGTTCAAGTGACATCAAAGTGTCATAAAATCTCTCTAAAGAAGTGATTAACTTCTAACGAGTGACTGTTCTATGTGAATTATTGGTTCATTTTTATCCTATACCTGTAAATGTCTTAGGATATTTGCAATCAAATTTTCTTCACAGTTACAAAAAACAACACACCGCTGAGAGTTGCTGAGGGGATTATTACAAATCAGGAAAATTATTTTAATGCCATGCCAAATCAATAGATGAGCAACATAAGCATGAAAACAGGAGGATAACATTGGGGAAAATAGATGTTAGGATATAGTTCCACTTAGTGTAGTTTACATTTCTCAAAAAGCCCAGCACATTAAATTAAATTAAACATTAAAACAAAAGAAATAAAATTATTAAAACAAAGCTCAAATTGAAAAAGGTGATGTATAAGAAACGATTGAAATTCTTGATTTGTAAGAGAAAATTATGTTTGTAGTTATTTGGTTTGCACACAGCTAGTATTCTTTTTCAAAGAACAGTTGCAATTTTAGTATACTTCTGTGTAAAAATGCCAGGAGAGATCAAGTAGAGGTGGTCACATAGATGACCAGTCTCTCCTGATTTCCAGAAGCAGAACTGGAGCAGGGAGCACACCTTAGGGAGGCTACCTGCCTCAATTCTTCTGCCTCTTACATACCCCACCTGCCAGCCTGTGCAGATCCCCAAGGACTGTGCTTCTCCTATCAACTAATGAACCACCAGTGGAGCTGTTGCTGACTGCTATCCAATGCTGTCCATCCCACCAACAAAGACAGCCTGGCTAGGAGGCAATATTGCCACCACCCCCAGCAACTCCTCCTTCACACTGATAGCTTTTGGTGTTTGATTGGGCTACTCAATGAGACCAAATTCATCTCATCGCTACTTCAATGAGTGGCTACTTCTATGCTTCAAATAGGAAAATTCATAATCTTAAAGTGATTTTGGTACATCGGGATTCAAAATGATCGTAACAGACTAGATACCCGGGCCCAAACTAATAAAATGAATTTATGTAGGAGCAATTGTAAGCTTCTGCACTTAGGCAGGAAGAACCAGATGCACAAATATAAGATGGGGGACATCAGAATTTTAGGAAGGATATTGACCCACTAGAACGTGTACAGAGGATGGAGATCAAGATGATGAAGGGGCTGGAAACCCAAACTTATGAGGAAAGGTTGAATGGGCTGGGTATGTTTACCCTGGAAAAGAGGAGACTGGGAGGAGATATGATAGTCATCTTCAAGGATCTCAAGGGCTGTTGCATGGAAGATGGAGCAAGCTTGTTTTCTCCTGCTCTGTAGGTCAGGACTTGGACCAATGACTTCATGTCATAAGAAAGGAGATTCTGACTAAACATCAGGAAGAACTTTCTGACAGTGGAACGGTCTATTGGCGTGCAACCAAAGAAACGGGGGCAATTGGCAGGCCCTCAGCTGGCTCCAGCCCACCGGCTGGCGGGCTGGGCGATCTCCAGTCCTTGGTGCAGCATCTGCAACCCAAGCTTCAGAAGCTAGGGCACACTACTCAGCAGAGTAAACGCCACGCAACAGAAGTGGCGGGAGAAGTTGTGTGAGCCTATTTACAAGCAGTTTATTCAGGATACATCAGGACAAAAGGAAACATGTCTGATCTCCTTCGTATCCAAAGGAAGACAGCTAAAGCAAAAGCTATACACAAATAAGTTCCCAGCAAGCTGTGCTGGAATGTAAACAGACATGTGACATACACCACACGTCTGTTCTTAAGGTGGAATGGAATATCCCAACACGGTCTCCCTTGGGAGGCTGTGGACTCTCCTTCCTTGGAGGTTTTTAAGCAATTTTTTTTTGGGGGGGGGGGGCAAATTATTCAGAGGTTAACATAGTGGGTGTTGTTGTTGTTTTTTAAAAAAACATATTATTTTTCTTCAGCAAGTGACCCTCAAATATGACTCTTGCTTCTTTTTAAAATGTTATTTCTACATCAACAACTGTTGCTATCACTTCTGACTTTCAAGCATTAGGGCAAAAAATAAAAATAAATGCCCACATGGATATATTTAGTTTTATAGCCTGAAATACTGGTACAGCTGCTAGAGGTCATTTAAAATATTATGTGCTCATTTGACACTGTAATGTGAAAGGTAAATTCTGCAAGGAAACCTAGAATAAATAAAACGCTATCTGAAAACAAAAAATAAAGAAATACAAAGTCCTACCAACTGAATTGTTCTGACCCACATGGGAGAATAACATAAAATAAATTATGTTCTGTCAGCAGTATCAGGTAGCGGAAGATTCCATAAAAAGATTGCTGTCGTGGATTTCTGAAAACAGAATGCAATTAAAAATAATCTTTTATCTGTTAAGTTCTTATTTATTTTTTTAATGTGTAGGTTTATCCTAAAAGAACTTGCTTCTTCCTACCTGTCACCTGATAAATACCCTCACTTATCTGATTTACAAGCCGTTGTTGTGTCAGGCTCTTCCTTTCCAGATCTTTAGTCATCAAGGTACAATGAGACATTTGACAACTCCTGACCCACTTACATCTCAGTACTTGAGTTTTTGTAATGTCTTCCTGCTGTGATTTTGCCATCTGAAATGCTCCGCTTTTACTCCTTACCTCCATTTTGTACTATTAAAAACAAGGTCAGGCCAAAGTTCTTCAGTGATTTTGTGGCCTGTCATGAACTGGCAGGATGAGGAGGAGGAGGAAGAGGATCCTCAAAAGGGATGCAGCTGAGACTGGGAGACATTGGGGCAAGCAGGCGATGGGGAAGGAAGCACTCACAGGATGATAGAGGTTGGTGAGGGAATGAGGGTCAATGCACAGCAAGCAGAGCAGCAGGACCCATCACCTGAGCTGCCCCTGTTGACATGGGCTCTGAGGCATAGGGAGCAGCAGAAGTGGTGCTCTAGGCAAACAAAGGCCCACAGCCCAGCTCCCTAGCTGGCCAGTGGGTTTTCGCTCGCTCTGGGAGGTTTGAGACTCCTGAGTTGGAGCAGGCTTGGAGCAGGTGAGGGCCACAGGCCTCATCGAGTCCAGATCCTGCAATCAGCATGCAAAGTACAAAAGGGAAAGAGAGCTGATGTGCTGTGTTCGCTCAACTGCCCACGTTGAT